TTAAGATGTGTGGAGGGCGACAGAGAGGATGGTAAAAAAGAAGAAGAAGAGGAGGCAGAATATAAGAGAATATAAGAAGAAGAAAGAGGAGGAGAAGATAAGGAGGAGAAGAATGTAAGAGGAAGTAGTGTGAAGAGCGAAAGGGGGGGGGGAATCGTTGAGTAGAAGGAGGATAAGAGAGCATCGTATTTAATGTGTGTGTGTTAGACTAAACATCAGGCAAGTTTGAATCCAGTTTGTGTTGGGTGTTCAAAATCTGTGCAACAGTTTGTGTTGTATTTCTTCTTGGCTAGCTGTTACTTGGTTGTTTATGGTCCGTCTGTCGGCTCCTTTCAAAAACACAAAAACTGACTCGTTGTTGCTATGCGACTGTTTGAAACAGTTTCTAACCAGTAGGAAGCCCTGCGATCTTTTGCTGGAATGATTTAATGTTGAAATTTTCAAAACCATCAGCATCCTGCATGCTGAGCCTGAATGCTAAATGCATGAATACCACACAGTGCTGTCACAATACTTTCTAATAGAAACAAAGGCTATTTGAAATAAAGGATAAAAGAAGTTGGGGGATCTTCTTTTTGAGCTGTCTGTAGGTCTGTTGATCTGTCATTCATATGACATCACAAAATGACTCCATTTACAATTGGCCTTAAGCTAAGCTTGATAAGGAAAACACTTGTTAATGCCCGGTGTAAATGCAGGAAAAATCTGTTCAACAAGTTAAAAGGTCACCTAACTCCGCCACTTCCTGCTAACCCAAGTAAGCCCGACAAAAGTGACAAGCAGTAGCAAGTTTTCCCGCAAAAAATGATTTAAAAATGAATGATGCTGGTCCATTGCTTTGCTTCCCTTGACCGAGTGGGACAAATCATGTTCCCTGACCAATGTGAGCAAAATGGAGATAAACGCTTATGAATGCAAGATGTAAATGTAAATGTTGGTGGATTGGATGTCTTTACTGAGGTAATGTATCCAGATAAAAATCACATACGAGGTGTAGGCCAGTGTGTATAATTTAGGTTGTCAAGAAAAAGATCTCAGTAAGCGTCAAATGAACTAGCTTATACGTGTTGGCCAACAAAAGTGTTCATACTTGCTCCAAATGGCCACATTCGAGATGCGGATGAAAGCCTGCTGCTATAGCAAGAGTAGTGACACAATAAATTATACAAATAATAAAATAAGTCAAATAAAACTATATAAAATAATTACTAATCAATAATCAATTAAAGTAAGAGTTAAGAAAATGCCAGTCAGTAGTTAAAAGTGAATGCAGCACAAAAACCCAGTGAAAGCGCACTTATAAAAAATATGTTTTTGAGAGGGATTTAAAAGACGACAAGGAGCTAGGCAGCCTGATCTCGTCAGATGAGAATAACGATGCACACGTTCGTACAATCCGTCAGAAACAGTGCTTAAGATGCTGTTGGATGATTAAACAAGCCCTTGGTTTAAAGCGAACTGTTCCCAGTCTCATTCAAACACATTGTATTGCACTTATGAAGTAGCGCTGGGTTAACTCTGAAAACATAGTCAATAGTGTTTCAGTGCCAAGTTAGTACATAGGAATATCCATAAATTCAGCAGGGAATACGAACTGTGATACATAGTCAGACTACATCTTGTGACCTTTTGCTACAGTCACAGTCAATCAATTCAGCCCAGTCAGACACTGTATGTGCTGACCAATAACTGGTACTGGCTTAACCTGAGAATGAATAATGAGCAGTTAAGTTTGTGATGATTAAAAGTGCTGACTGTCGGCTGCAAGAGTCTGTGCAATAGCATAACACCCAACACATCTTCATTCTTTTTGGTGCTGATGGTATATTTCATGCTCTTAACTCTGATTCTACATCTATATTTAAACAGTGCAGGTTAAAAAACGGTGTTCCTTATATTCTAGTTGGGTCGCCTGGTAGGGTCACTCATGCACACCATCAAACAAAATCTGAAAGATGATGTGGGAGTTTCTGTTCTGCCAAAACCAAAATACCCTCATACTTCAGATTCCTTCCTGGCTCATACACATGATCTATGGAAGCCACTTGATCAAAATGTCAAGCAGTAACATATCAGATTAACTAAAGTCAGCAACCTAACCGTATGTATCAGAAATATAGACAATAATATAGAAAGAGCATGTCCATTTATTTGTTAACTGTCTGTATTCAAAACATTTTAATATATAAATATTTCCCATACAAAATGTAAAACATTTTGCATGCTTTTGTGTTTAGGATGTGTTATAAATATTTTATCATTGCCCAATGCTGCAAACACAAGCAAAAGTGTGCACACAGACATGCCACATCATACACACACAGTCCCATCAATGTTCTGATGGTTTTAAGGGGAGTGATGAAGGGTGATGGCAGACTATTCAGTTCATCTGAAAAGGGTTCTCAGACTTACAGTAGCTTCTGAGAATCTGAAAATATGGATGATTATTATTACATACAGCATTTCATGTTTACACTTATGCATTAAGTCTGGCTGTGGTGAGTCACAAGCTTTTTTACTTGCTGATATGTTTGATTTCAGTTATTCTTTGTCCGTTAGCCTTGGCGTGATATGGCTATCACACTTTAATGTTTTTAAAATGTTAAAATGGGTATAAGAATACATTTTGCTTCCTTAGCACCTCATTGTAATCATTTTATAGAAAGTATTGAGCTGAAAAAATTGTTTCCTCAGCTGAGAGGCATGAAATTAGATGGTACAGTATATAACCACACAGGGCATTAACAGTTGGTGAGAAGTGCTGGCTAATGCAAGACATCTGCTATTTATATCAGAATCTGTAATGAGAGATTTGGGTGAAACTGGCTGAGCTAGTCAAGTTCATATATTCAGTGAGGACTTTAATTCAAACTGCTAAAATATGAATGGGAAAGGTATTTCACGTTTCATATTTTATTAGGCGAGGCCTAGTGTTTTGTAAACATATGTGTACCCTGTGGGTTGCATTACAACATCGAGTTCGCCCTCACAGAAATTGGGTTTTTTCATATTGTTGAGTTGTTGTTGTTGAATGAAACCAAATGGCATCGAGAAATAACACGGTAGCTGATAACACCATGTAAAAATCTATCTACTTTGAGGTAGAGGGCATGCTGAATATAAGTATTCTCTTTGGCAGAAATGATCCTTTCAGCCGAGTGAAGACGTACACTTTGGCCACCGTACGAACCCACAGAAGCATAATTTCTCTCTCACACACATCTCATCAGGACCCCTGCCTTCTCCTGAATATCCACCATTTCCTTCATTCTCTGCCCACCTCTTTAGTGCCTCGAGAGAGAGTCTCAGTGGGATAATAGAGAACTGAAGGTCACAGCTCCTTTTACCCCCTCCTGATTATTTGGTGACCTCCCTAATGGACCAAGAAGGGATATTTTACCCTAACTATCAGATACAAAGAATGTAGATATTACTCTCAATGCCCTCTCATTGCTGCTCAGGTGATAGGAATGATAGCTGTCTTAAGTGGCAATTGGAAATCTGATATGTGTGTTTTAGTGCTTTTTTCTGTGCATTCCTCATCTTTGACTCTGGTTGTCAAAGCTCACAGGGGTGCTGTTTCTTTTAAGATATCAAAGATATTTTTGAAGGTCTTCATGAAAGTTATTCATTTTTTGTGTAGTGATAGTTTTATCCTCATTAAGATTCTGGATAGTGTTTTTCACAGAAAACTAACCACTAATTAGCTTATCAGTTTCCTGACACAATACAAAAAATACAACTTAAAAGCTGAAATATTCTACAAAAAACAAAACAAAAAAAACCCAAACCACACACAATCCTTTTTTCAATGTTCTGAAAAAAAGCCATGGAGTGCTGTTTCCTTCAGTTCATTGTTCGAATTTGGTTTATTCTCACCCTCTCATCAACCTTTCCAGATGCAGTTGGCAACAAACAGCGAACAAGCCCTGATAAACCGTAAAATACCTGTTCAATTCCAAACAGCAGACAGCCAAAGTTAGCAAGTTAGATTGTGAACATAGTGGAGTCTTTAGCAACGAAAGAGCCAGATATTTCCCTCAGGAGTGGGTGGAGGCCAAAAGCCGAGCTAAAAGAGAGTGAATATTTAACGCTAATGTTGCTCCGTGTCTGCTGGATGTGTAAATAGGCAACTCTTTGCTAACACGTACTAACTCGCCATATTAACTTTATGATGATTGAATGTCACAGTTGTGTTTACAGCTGGTTGTGCTGCCACCTCATGGCCAAAAAATAGATCAATGCATATGTAAGTGATCAAAAGTCCAAGGTTCTGTAAATAACATATTTCAGTGTGTTAAATGTCCTTCACTGTCTCTACACTGATAGTTACTGAACATTAAAATCCACTCACTGTAATTATACCAGAGTATACAGATACGCAGAAGACTTTGATATTTCCATGGAGACTGCTCAGTGAAAGTGTCTAAGTTTATCTTTTATAGCTCAGTCACAAATACAGTAAAAGCAGCTTTTCTGGAAAATAAGCACTTGAATTCATAGATTTTTGTTTGCTTGTTGAGGGGGAAAAAAGGGTCTCAACTGTAAAATCTGTTGCATTAACCTTGTTTTGTGCCAAGAGAGCATCTGCCTAAACAACATGAGAAACAATTGAAGTGAAATTCCCCCACAGCTGAAAGTGAGTCTGTAGTGCCCTATCACACCTTGGATTTCCTCTCTTCTTTACAGGTCATGTGACTGAGAACAATCATTTGTTTCCGTTGTGATTGAGATATTAATTTACTATTATAGACATATTAGCTGCCAGTTTCACTACTGTGGCCTTTGCTGTTAATTAAATCTGTGCGTTTTCTGTGTCACACACATGCCCATCATCAACACATTATTCAGCCTTTACAAGCACATACTGTAAGTGCTGTATTGGTAGCAAAACAACTACGTACGTGTGCGCGTGCGTCTGTTTGTACAACTGCGTGTGCGTCGACATGCGCGTGCACTGTCCATATCCATGCCCTTGCCTGCGTCGTGCCGCTCATTACGTTTGATCCATGCGGAGCTCCCGCGCCTGCACTCGGCACTTGGCGGACAGACGCGCAGGGCAGACAGTGGTCTGCTGCTGCTCATACCGCGGGGTTCACTTCACCAAAGTCTTCCTCCACACAGCGAGGCAGTCTGGGATTCCTTCAGTGCACAGTCGGGGATGCGCATCTGGATCGGAAAGTGTCCCGGGGACAATTACGCGTCGAGGCAGTACCTCTGTACCGCTGTACCTCTCTCTCTCTCTGTCCCCCTGCCCCCACAGAGGAAATAATCCCACCGGTTGAGGACAGTTTGGCTTTTTTTTTTTTTTTTTTGGACAGAATGGCTGGCGCAAAGTGCCTTCTGAAAACGCCGAGGTAAGAGACTGCTTATTATCCCGGGATAAAGAAATAATATCGATGAGCACCGGCGCATATTCCCAAACATAATCAACATGATGTCTCTATAGGCACTTAAACGGTGTGTCTGATTCTCAGCAGTGAACATCTACTAAATGGTGCTTTTGTTGAATCTATTCAACATTCTGATATTTTCCTACAATATCTCACAAATGGAGTTTCTGTAATATTTGTAGCACCCTTCTAAAAATGATATAGTATTCTAGTTATTTTTTACAAAAGCATTGACAATGACAAGTGAGTGTGAGGTGAATATGCATGTATTATATGTTGTATTGAATCCAAGTGTAGTGATTTTTTTTTTTTTTTTTTTGATCGTGCCAAAGTGTGTCAGTTTGCGTAGTGTTGGAAAAGCGCACCAAAAATCCACGAGTGATGCAGTGAAGCCTCTGTCACAGCAGACTGCCAGTGCAAGAGGCTTCAGCTTGCCTGGCCTGACTGATAGAAATGCATGGCAATAGGAAAAGTTCAAAATAGAAATGTTCAATTTTTACTCTTAAATGTGTTTGTTTTAAAAAAAAAATAAAAAAAAATAAGATTCAGTCTTATGTCTGTTTTTCTTTGGGGGTAACTGTCAACATTAGAGGTGAAAGAAAACAGCACCTAAACTTACCACACTGGTTATTCTGTGGTGTCCAAAGCAGTGAAATTCGAGGGCTACCACCAAAAGTTGCCTTTTTGTGCCCTAATAAACTGGCCTTCTGGCCTCTGAAGTCTGAAATCCTGAGCCACACAGGCTTCCGCAATAAATTACAACAGCGGACTGAAGGTTGCCCTTGAAGGCGAGACATTTCAGGGGTTAATTGTGTCTTCACATCAGGTTGATGTCTGCTGGGTACCCGGGGCCCCGGGAGCACGAGAGCAGCCTGTCAATCATCACCGTGTCGTGATGGAAAGGTCGTTAAGCGTAAAGATTAGAAAGCAGGTCGTGCGTGACAAATGGATCCCAGGCCTCCTTCAGATTTTCTGCGAAAATCTCTCAACATTTGCGTGAACGACACATTCAAAGCAGTCTAGAGTGTCATTAGCTTCCCATTTTCTGCATGCATCCAACATCCAACATTCACTGCAGAATCAGTGCCTCTCTCTCACTCTCTCTCTGTGTGTGTGTGTGTGTGTGTGTGTATTGGATTTGGTGTTTTGATGTGCCTCACACATACAGCAGCCTATTAAAGGCACATCATATCCACTTATCTCCAGTACACCATCTTTTTTTTCTTTTTTTTGTCAGTGTGTCCGGCTATTTACAGTAAACTCCCGTTTCCTGTGACACAATTATTTACATCAGGCATGTTCATTAACTGCAAATAGATACAGTTGTGTGATCCCTCGGGGGCTTTCAAAATGAAACACTTTTAATTTGCTTTGAAATATGTGGATTACAGGGAAAAAACAGCATCTCCTATTTAAATATGCATCCCCAGCCTCTTTATTTTCCAAATTGATCCTCATTAATGCCATTCCAGATAAGCTTCGATTTGGCTTATCTCAGTGAAAGCATGCACGGAGGATAATGACGCCTTCCTGGGATTTTTGAGTTTGCTATGTTGTGTTTTGGTTCGCCTTAGTCCGACAGACATTCCTGTCGCTACAGATTGTTAAATAATTTTGTCTCATGCACCAAATGAAGGTCACATGTTGTGTTTGTCCCGTTATAATCCTCTTTTGCCATCAAATTTCATGATTTGGCAAAGTGTCCATGAGTTTTTGACACTTTAAAGCTTAGTTGCATAATAGTATGTGCTTGATATACAGAAACTGGAGACTTGCTGCAGTCTCTCAAACCCACTGTTAACCTTCTGCAAAAAGCTGCCATTCACTAATGGCTCCAATGTGCAGTTGGCTTTGCCTTCATGTGGAGAGAGGCGACATCACAGAAATCCCTAAAGAAACTTTTTAGCAGGGGCTACAGTGGTTTCTCATGAATAATAATGTGATAAGAAAGGTCTTGACATCCACAGACCAACACCTAAAACTCTTTGCACTCTTCAATAAATGATGGGATGACTGGGAATGATTTAGGTGAAGGAATTAAGTATTCAGCCCAGAATATTGTAATGACTCTCCTGTCCGACAGTATCTGTCTGGTTAATTTATGCCACAGCTGTACGGTATGAACAACTGTGACAGACAATGTGCTTGTCCAGTCAGAGAGCGGCAATAAGCCATCCTTACTCATCTCAGACAGTTTTTTTAAAAGTGAGGTGTTGAGCACTTGACAAGAACTTGCTTTGACAAAGTCAACCCATGCCCTTTTTGCCTTTCCCTCGGGATAAATAAAGTATCTATCTATCTATCTTGCAGTAACTTCCAGTCGTCTGCCATGTTTGAAGGCTCAGAGTCTGTCGAGGTGGAGGGAGGCAGCACAGACAGCACCATGGCCTCGTCCATCAGCGCCTGCAAGAAGGTAAAAGAAACAGAGCTGTGTCCCGTGTGCTTGTGTTGGGATGGAAGTGTACACCTATCTGCCTGTGTGTCCCTCTGTCTGTCTGCTGTATGGCCGCTTGTCAACCACGTCTTATTTTTGTTGTCTTTTTCTCTGTTCATGTGCCTGTGCACCTGTCCATCATATCTGTCTCCCCTGTTATCTGTTTGTGTGTTTCCAGCAGTGCAAGAGATTTTCATTTCCTCCTCTGGGGTGCCGGTGACACCCAGGGGTTGTGTAATAAGAGGGAACTGCCAGGCCCTCAGGTCAGCCCAGTAGATTTATCATCTCCCAGTGCCGGAGAGACAGCAGGGGAAATAGTCCAGAACAGTGGGCTGAGGTGGAGGCTAGATTGAATTTCCTTTGTGTAGGTCTGTTTGTGTATGTCCCTTACTTGTATGTGTACGACGTGCAGGTGGACACGCTGGTTTGTGTTCCTAATTAGTCTACCGCTTATGATCTTAACTGACTTCTTCCACTCAAGTGTCCTGTAGAGACACAAGGTGATGTCTTACTTATAATTGGGCCTCGTGCTCCGCTGGCCTGCGGCAGCAACCTTTGATATGATCGCCCTCAGTGAGATCAGCTCATTCTACGTCACCTTTACCTGGCCGAGGGCCTGGACAGATGGCCTATTCCTGGGGGTGCATGATTTGTCACTAAAAATACACAGTGAGAATGAACAACACATGCGTCTGTCATATGTCAAAGTAATTATATTTTATATTATTATATTTATAGCATGTGATTTTAATCTTGCCTGTAGAATGGTGGCGCAGGATATTTGAAATGTAGGTTTTTCTTCTTGTGTTAGAAATAAATATAAATATACCATAAGGTCAAACCCTTGCACTGTGATAAGCATCAAGGGAATCTTTGATTTCACCCTTGTAAATAAATTGGGATTGTAATTGTGTGGTTATTAAAACTGAAAAGTCAGTAGTTTACAATAAATGAGCACATCAATCAGCAGGACAAAGACTCTTGTCTGTCACTAACAGAGGCAGCTCTATGACTGTAGCTTTCATCCTAAAGCCTTCATTAAAATGCCCCCCCAGGTGGGAAACTATAACTGTTGTGTATTTACTGTGCAGTGACTGGTTAGCTGACAGGTTATTGATCATGTGATGCGGACACTTATCCTGAAATAAAGGTCCTAGAGAAAGGTCAATTGATCCCAACAACCAAAGGGGGGAAAACACCAAGACTGGCAGATGAAAGCGAATGTGTGACTCATATGGTGTGTGCGGAGTGATATGCTCCATGTATGTGTCTCTGCGTGGTGTGATTTAAGTGGCGCTGCTGTACCTGAGCAGGGTTTATCTGTGTGCTGCAGGTGCTGTGCAGCAACAGTGTGCTGGACTCATCGGAGTACTGGCTGAGGAATGAGAAAACTCTGTGCAGACTGGGCCTGCTGGACGACGACGCGGAGGGCAGCTGCACCGTGGTGAGTAGCATACTGTGGATGAGGAAACACACGCACCCTTTTGGCAACAAAGATGAACCAAGTCATCTCTTGTGTGGAGTTTTAAGGCTGCAGGAGGCAGGTTTGTGGGCCTCAAATGACAGTGAGGTAACGGTTTGAATTTAAAGACAGAAGTGATGTGAGATGACATCTAAAAAAACTGCACTCTCTTCAACCTGCTTCCTCTTGAGTGGCCCGTGGGCATGGAGATGGTGGAAAAAAACATTTTTGCAGCAGGTTGCTAGTCCTCCCTTACTTCTCTTTAGTAGAGAGTTCTTGTTTTTAAGGTGTTATGTGTCACTTCTTATTTCTTGTGAAAATGGACTTGATTTAGGCTATTGCAATGGATGTACTTGCATTACTAAGTAGTGCAACTGTCAGATATTGTTCTCTTTTCCCTAAAAATCTAACAACATGCATTCAATTAACATGCATTTTGTCCTGTCAAGACTCTTGATAACCAAAGAGGGCAGCGAAGCAGTGCTTTTCAGCCTTGTATGAAATTAGTCTTGCTCATGGGTTTGATGGCAGGAAGAGATATATCACCTTAGATATCCCACCCCAATATATGTATTAATACATATACAAATAGTCTCCTTGGAACAATAATGTGTGTCTGATAAAAGGTATAATTTCCACATTAAAATCCTTAAAAAGGCATCTAATCCTTCTACTTCATTAAAAATGATAGAATCTATGAATATGCTAATGTTGTTGATTTCTTAAGTTTTCCTGCTGGACACAAGATGTCTCCTACTTCACTGTAAAGTCCATTCTGAGTGCATGTGCACTGCTGGGTTCAAGTTTCTACATACTGAACTAGGTTTGACTTTTAAATTATTTGTAACGTCACAAATCATACTCTCCTCGCCTCTTAAAATCAGACTTTCAGTGAGCACAGAAAAACATATTTTTGATTGGAAGGGGACTTTAAAGAACTATGCATTAATTAATCTATAAACAATGTTTCTTCCAATGTTGCCAGCTGATGCTGGTGCTGAACTCTGTAATAATGTTTCCACTCGCTGAGAGCCATGTGTTCTGTGAATGAAAGAAGTATTTCTCTTGTATTTGTCTTCTTTAAAATGAGTTGGAAAAGAACATTTATTTTTGCATCTATGAACGGAATACAATTTCATAATCACTTTGCTGCTTGAAATATACCAGCAGATTTTCTTTAAGTAGATGTTATGAGCTCTGCAATTTCATTCTGCTGGAAGATTGTTAAAAGCTCAATTTGGTCTCAGCAGGCAATTTATTAAAGACAGATGGTTTTGTAGAGTAAATGCATCTCTGTTTTGTTGATTTGATCACACTCTGTGATTGCAAATAAATCATATATTAGTCATCTCTGCTGTAACACAGTCTCTTAAAGATTTCAGTAGTTTGACTCTCCTGGGATTAGGAGAACTACACTCTTGCTGGACTTTAGTCCTCTACCTGTCTACTTCCTGGACTCTCAGCATGACAGCGTCAGTCCAGGCATGTGGATTCAACTTCACACTTACAAGCAGAGTTAAGTTAATGCCACTGATTTGGGTTTGACTGTACACAGTTGTTTGTTTGGTACATTTTAAGTGGTTCTAAACAAGCCATTTTCTTTGCCTTCTGGTAAGTGCATGCTGGGATAGATTTAGCAGAAATAGAAATCTTGAAACACCATGGCAAAATTAGGATTGTTATTTGAGCTGACATGGAGAGGAAGACGCTTTCACATCCTGTAATCAGATTGTATGATTCTAGCTACTGAGCATTAAGTTGCTATATATAGTTTTTAATCATGGGGTTTTCACTCTTTATGAACACTGATTTACTCAAGTGGCCTAAACTCCACAAGCCTGCAGCATCATTTCACATTTCCATCCTTTAAATGTTGTCATGTATCGCCACATTTACAGTAATAAGGCATATGCAGCGTTTTGAGTAGTAGGAAATGACACCAAAGATAACATACTATACTTGTTTCTTTAAAAACATAAGAAATGACATTAGAAATGGAAAGAACGGTGATAAGTGTGAACACAAATTACTCTTTTCTTATAATTATACACAATATGGCATACATATAGTATAATGTGATGTTTAGCGAGGATATTCTGGGCACATTATTTGTTTGGATAACTAAGGACATTGTTTAGACAAGGACGTTGGACTTTGGAAAAGCCATCGAGAGAGAAAACAAAAAAGAGAAAGGCTTTTAGCTGTAGAGGACGCGCATGCTTAATCCTCTCTGTCACCCAATTCTGATGTGTCACCTTTGATCAGTCATTCATTTGAGATTGCAAGTTAAACATGAATTGCATTCAGGATTTATATCTGTCTGGCTCGAAGGCGTTCTGTGGTTGGGAGGGAAACAGCCGTTTGATTTTTAAAGCGTATCAGTTATATTTTAATACAGGCATGGACTATAAACTGCACTAAACACTAAATTAAAAAGGACTGCATCAAGGATTATTTCATAGAAGATGAGATTTGGTTCAAGATTCCTTCTGTAGGTGGGCCTCATTAAATAAAGTACCTGGAATACATAATCTGTTCTCTCTAATAACATCATCTGAACTGTAGTTTCTGAAGATGGATGTCATATTCTCCCTCACTTCAGTGATAGCCTAATAATAAGTCTGAGTTTCATCCCCTCAGGGGTGAAATCAGTTTTCTCACCTTTAGCTGCCAAATATCTCCTATGCTTCCCTCTTTGCCATTTCTGTTTTTTTTTTTTCAGAAATTATACCTCCAGACTCTGAGCCGCACTATCTTTGAGCAACGACCTACACCTCCCTGATCAGAGCCTCATCTTAGTGATCCAGGTTTAATTGCAAGAGCAGTGGGATCAGTCTCACAGATCTGGATGAAGTCTAGTCCTTAAAGAAACCTCCCCACAGAGAGATGCTGAAACAAGTTGTGATAATGAGTTTCTCTGCAGTTTAGAGTAAAATCTGATTTCAACTCTCTTGGTGGCAACCTCCCAACTACTACTGGATGGATTGCCATGGTCGTTCATGGTCCCCTCATAATGAATTGTACTAACTTTGATGACCACTAAACTTTTAATCTGTTGCCATCAACAGTTCTAAAATTTCAATTTGATGATCTCTTATGAGCAAACATCTGCAAATCCAATTACCTTCCCATCAATATAGCTGTACTTTGTATTTAGAGCGAGTAGCAAATGTTAACATGCTAACTCTCTAAACTTGGATAGTGAACATGATAAACATTATACCTGCTAAGCATATTAGCATTTAGTTCAAAGCACCGCTACGCCCATGTTAACATGTAGACTATTGGTCTCGTTTTAGTGCTCCTTCCATAGGATTTAATGCAGGGTCAACATCAAGAATTATAAATAACAAAGGGGTGATTAAACACAGTCAACAACCATAACAAGCTTTTCAAGCCTTCTCTAGAGGATTGCCATTGAACTGCCACACAATCATTACTTGAGCAAGAGTCACTTTTTATTTAGAATTCCTCCATCATGCACTGTAGCTGGTCCATTTTATGCAGAATAAATGCCATTAACACACAGTGTTTTGAATTTTTTTCCCATATACTCACATAAAACATGCCTCAAGTGCTTAATAATCATTGCCAATGTAACAGGAATAGCAATAATTTAGCAAAGAGCAGCTTTCTCTCACACTCATGTCACACTTTGTAAGTGTGAGCAGCCGCATGCTGAATTGAATGTTCCTGAAACCCCCAGACACCAGCTGTACTATCTAGGACAAGTCGTACACAGGACTCAAACAACTGCACGTTAGTTTTATCAAAGATTATTGTTTTTCAGAATTGTTTTATATTCACACTCATTTTAGCTTCCAGTATATTGGCAATACTGTACTCGTTCATGAAAGTTTAGTGGAGGGCAGATGGTCTGTACATCAGCCCAACTTGCCCGCTGATAGAGTCCTGTGAAGTAGATTTATGCATTGCACCATGATTCTTTTCCTCCTCATCTTTTTTTACTTGGAATGTTACTGTATTTGTGATAGCTGCCAACTTGAAAACAAAAACATCCCTTGTGCTGTCCTTGTCTCTGCAGAGCAGGCCGCTTCTCATCAAGCTCCTACCTGAGTTTGGGATTATGCCTACAGTTTTATCTTCATTGTTCTTTTGTGAAATGTAAAAACAAAGCAGCTTCATCTTTACAGTTCTTGTTTAAACATGACAATGGTTGTTTGTTTCCTTTACTTTATGTCTGTTTCTTAAGAAAAAAAGGGAGCTTTAATGCGAGTGTGAACAGACGAGGCCCATCTTCCCGCAGCATCGCTCTCAGACTTTGACGTGACAGATTGCTCCTCTGACTCTCGATTCTCCTTTCGGCTTCTCCGTGGTTTTTTACGCAGCAAATCAATCAAACAGGAGCTTACGATTGATGACACTGTGTGAGAAATAAAATCTTCTGTCCTGGCCTGAACTGTACAGGGAGGCAGAGGGGAAGCAGAGAGTAGGCAGAATGCGGAAAACAGATAGAAAGAAGTGAAAGAGAAGAGGGTGAGACAACGTACGCTGATTCAAACCCAACAAGAGAGGAAGCCACAAAACCACACGATACGAGCATGGGATACTCAGTCAGTAGAGAGCGATGCAGAAAGGCAGACCACAGGGTAATGAAGAGAGGGATTTGTTTGTTTGCTTTGACCAGTGTCTAGAGTCATCTAGGGATGTAGTTGCAGATGACAACTCTCTCATTTCAATCACTGTATTCAGGAGAAGTTCAAAATTTGAGCGCGGAAGGCCAAAAACTGTGAGCTAAGTAAAAGATATGAGTTTTGGATTTTTTTTTTCTCCGTGTGTCGCTCTATCATCCACCTCTGGTTGCATCATGTTGTCACCTTTGATCACTCACTCATGTTTTAATGCATGAAGTCACAAAGAAGTGTCATGTTGCTGTGATAGTCACACTGAATTTCATCACACCCCTGAGAGATTTGACAGGGTGAGCATTCTGAAGAGGAAGACGGCACCATTTTTTTCTT